AGAGTAAGTGATAAAACAAAAAGAACCACGAATTCCTACAAGCTGCACACACGGGTGACATGGCATAATCATAATTTACGGTCGCGATTCTTAGCTACCTTGGATTTGGAATGTGTCCTAAATATATATAGCTGCAAATAAATATGTCCAACTTTATACTCTTTAAAGACTTCATCCTGCATGGGCATCTTGTCCTTACCTATCAAACCCCCTATGAAAGCTCAAAAGACTCAGTTTAGGGTATTTCGAAACGATTATAAAAAAACGCCAATTTCAAGGGTAAAATATCTTACTTTGTCACTAGCTCCTACTATTACATATTCCCAGCATAACACGATCCAACATTAAGAAAAATTACCTATAAAGACTTCACAATGTCGACGTTGGTATTAGTAACAAAACTAGGGTTAAAACAGCTCCCTTGTGAAAACGGCGAGAAATACCTTTGTACAAAAATGACCTCCTCACTAGGTACATACTGCGTTATTCTGTACAAAAAACGTCGCAGACGTCACCATGGAAGGCCAAAGGGCAAAAATGAAAAGTCAACACGCAGAGGTGGGAGTGGGCCTCGTTGGTATCGGGGGCAAGAAGCCGGCTAGCGGTCCTGGGCCCTGCGGCAACCACCTGTCCCATACTTCCATACCTTACACACTTACACACCTGCTGAACACGGGGGAATAATTCCCACGCGGGGGCGAAGTGTCTCACACACGAACCCCGGCTTGGGACGAAATACCTTCTGGAGAGGCGAAAATTATTTCTTCTGCCAAATGTCTTCTTCAGCCATGAAATACCTTTGGGAGCAACACAATTTCTTGAAGGGGTGAAATCTCTTCTTTTAAAATTGAATCCCCCTTGAGAAGGTAAGTTCTTTTTTTAATTGTGAAGTCCGATTTTGAACAGTTAAATTTCTGCTTGGGAGGGCAAAATCTCTTCTTGAGAGGCGAAACCCCTTCTTGAAGGAATAAAATCCCTTGTTGTAGTGAAATCCCTTAATGTAAAGGAACATTCCATATAAACGTTGAAGATGGTGGAAATACATCCCTGTTAGATCATTATAATGCATTGTAGATTATCTTACTACGGCAAATGTAATGGAAACCAGCATTCCCGATGATGGTAATTAAGGGAGGTCACAGTTGGAGGAGGGGGTCGGATTCTTTTGGGTATGCATATTTGAGGTATACGTTGAATCGCCGATATTAAAAGGATAACAACTAGACATGACTAACTAGAGAATAACTTGTGAATAAGTCGTCAATAGTCAACTAGTGTCCAAGTCGCTATAGATGCAATTTGACACTGAATGTTGATAACAACAGGGAAAGTATTTTAGTTGAAGTTTCTAAAATATTTTACACAAAAATGGAATTTGAAGTCAGTGGTGAAGTCTCTGAAAATCTAAGCTTGTAAGCATTAATTTCGTAAATATTTAGGATTATAGCAATAGTATTTGGTAAACTATTAAGAAACCAAATTCTTCATACAGCATCGTAATATGCTTCTCGAATTGTAATTAATGATCAATGTTCAGGTTCTGATCCCAGAAGCAGGTATAATCACGCAATCAGTAGAACAGGTTGAGCTGCCTATTGCAACCACAGTGAATAGTAACAAGTACTACATTTAAATAACAAGATGAAGATTGATAGAACTTGTTCACTTAAAAAGCAGTTTCAAATAAACTGTGAGATTTGTTTCAGAGCACAACTGGTACTTCTGTCTGGTTAACAACCACAGAACTATGTACTGAAATGAGAGTAGTCTAAGCGTCTAAGGAAACGCTAATAAAGAATGTACCTGTTGGTTGGATATACGCGTTTAGGGTAAGAATAATTTAAGTATTCCAAATAAAGTCCTTTATATTGGTTGCAAATTTGGATTTTCGTCTTTGGCAACACAAGACTTTGAGTGTTAAATAAAATTTAAGATTGCAAGAGTATTTACATGACAGTATGATGTTTGGGTGGTAATAAATTACAAATTACGGGTTTAAGTGTTTACAAACGCTAACCCTTAGAGTAGAACAATATGTGACAGGATTACGCTACAACTAAAATTAAGTTCCATGCAGAAATAACTATAATCACTGGGAAGAGAGAAAATCCAACGTCGACTTGTCAAAATGACCTTTACTAGAGGTTAACCTCTGTGTTTACGTATTTTTCCATCACTATGATTCAATCAGTGGAAGTGATGTGGTAACGGAAATCATGAAAGTGTTAGATGACCTTTGATGGTTTGCTATAAATACGAAACAATGGTTGAAGTCGCCTTGACCATCGCCCACTGCGCCCACTGGGTGACGCTGCTGGATGGGCGACCAGTCGCTCACTCACGGGCGTAACTACGACAATCTCAACACACACAAGGAGTAACTACGACACTTAAACAGATAAGTCACAACTAAGACAATCAAAACTGAGACGAGGGGTAACTTTGACATACGAAATTCACAACTCAAACAAGACATAACTACGAAACTCGTATCTCAGGCAAGGCGTAGCTATTACACAAATTTTATAGATAATGCGTAGCTACGAAAATCTATAAATGGAATTAGGCGTAACTTCAACTACAACCATGACATGAGGCATGTCTACGAAACTCACATCGTAAGACTAAAATTACAATGTCTAATAAGACATACCTTCAACATTAATTACTGCAAATAGTCATACATTGGACATACAACACTCCCCCAAGCCATATCTGACAAATTTAAAGCTCTTGCCGAACATCCCTAATAGCATAAAAAAAATAAAAGGCTCTCAGCGCCGAATAAGAAAATACAAAATAAACAATTTTCAAACACGATCACTTACTTTTGAAATCCAAATGGGAAATACGAGGTCAATTTCATAAACTCTTTTTAAATTACAATAATTCAGAAAATCTCAGTAACGCAGACAAGATAAAAAGAACATTAAGGTCAATGTTTATTTTGCTTCGTAACTCAACCGCTGTTATAATTCAAAACCGCTTTTCATGTTCGGATAACACTAAGCATACAGTCAACAAAAGATGTTTTCCGTAAGGTTGGTGCAGCACAATAGATGGCCGTGTAGCAGCTGATGATCAAAACCTTGCTTGCTATTGCTAAAAGATTGACGGACAAGGCCGAAAATAATACAATTTTGACTAGTTATTGTTCTGTTATACAACCAACAGATTACGTACACATTGATTGAGATAATGCTAATAATGTTTTGACGAAACAGAACATACCACCAAAATCATTCAAATCAAAGCTGTTCCTGATCATTGGGTTTTAAATGATCCTGACTGATGAAACAGCTGATCTTAGACAGTATCAAAGCTACACAGATCATTTCACACCATTCACTCATATTTGGGTTAGAAAACGCACTTAGGTCGCGCCCCCCCCTGAGATAATGTGATCAAAAACATTTTTGCTATTTCCTTAGGCTTTTAGGGTTGCACTAAAATGGTTGACTTTAACAACAAACTTATAGCGAGTTTCAGAATCATTTTAGATAACTTTTTCATCTATGTGTTGACGCTGTAAAGTCTAAAAATATTATGGATTCAATTCAAATGCGTTTTATTATGCATAGATTTCTGGATCGTAACGTTCAACTTTGTTTTGTAATACGATTGCATTTATGTAATCCAAGAAGCGAAAACGAATATTAGAATATTATGACCGTTATGACATAACACATCAGCTTTTGAAACTAAGTAACAACCAATCTATGAACAAATTAAACTTTTCTGATCCAATTACAATTCAAAACACAATTAATAATCTCATTGCTTGGTTTATATTCATGATTAGAAAAGTTCATTACTCTGTTGCTTAAGTTCCCAATGGGGTTTCTCACAATAAAACTACTATCAAAGATCTATTTTAATTCAAGAATTATTATATAAAATTTAAGTAGCAGTTTTTGAGTTATGCACACGTAGTCCCTAAACTGACGAGTTCAGCAAATCCCTTTCGCTAAATTCAACAAAACCCAGGCTTTTGATACCAACACCATAAAATGACTAAACATTCCAAAAGGAATTCTGAATTGTATTAACCATGTTTAAAAAATTAATACCTCAACAAGATCACTTTTGGATACTGAAGCATACATCCTATCTATACAGGGTGTCCTGTTAGTAAAAACAAAAAAAAAATTGGAAAATGTTTTCTATGCCAAAATAAAAAGAAAATCAAGAATACAATTTTTCCAAAACACCTTGTTAGTGAGATGTAAATATAAAATTTATGTCTTTCAAACCATTTAAGATATCTTTATGAAATTTTGTTTACTATTTGAAATAGCAATGAACTATTTGCACACAAACGTTTTTAGTTTAAACATGGAGGTTGTAAAATTTGTATAACTTAAATTACTGAAAAAGGCAGATTTTATAAAATAATGTCAATAATTATTTCTAAAAGATTCAAATATAAAATAGATCAATATTATGTTGTGAAAATAAGACCAAGATATCAGGGAGCGCCTCATTTTGCACGGCCTGTACAATTAAACGTGCTATTTCAGCTATTTGTTAGTCGATCTTTTTGAACTTTTAGTCGTTTGATAAAAATATGTTAACTCATACATTAAAAAAAATTACAGATGGACTATCTTGCTAACAAACCATTTTTATATAATTTATTCATGGTTTTAGTTCTATTTTCACCAATGAAACCTATTCCTACATTGTTTGTACTTACGGGACACCCTGTAAAGGAAGCTATTTTGTATTAGAACCACTCACAGAATGTGGTACTGACTATAATTATTATCTACCTTAGTTCTTGTTACAGGATCTGTCTAGTGTCTATGTGACAAAAAAAATTATAGTTTGAAGCATGTTGTTAATTCAATTTGCCAGTAATCAGTAATCTGCTTTACCTCATTGTCGGTGGCTCAATCGAAATACGTAATTTTATTTAAAACTGTCAAAATACGAAGATAAAATATCTAGTTTTATTCATAGTCAAATATTTAAGATTGAATAATAACGATGGAACTCACCTTGTGTTCGGGTGGCGCTCCGTGCCTCGGAGATCCTGCAACATAAGATTACATCGTCAATGTCAATGTCAGTCACAGCATTGTTCGCATTCCCTGGTTCCCAAGCTTTCCCGCTCAGACAGATTGTCGTGTAGGCAACACTGCTAAAATGATCTCGAGAAGGGAATCGGACCAATGTCAAGGTCCCAAGTTTTGTGTTATCCTATATATTAGGTAAGCATGTTTATTGAAAAAGTTCTTTTCTTATCTCGTGTGCATCGAAGGTAAAATCTACGCATACTGTAAGATATTTTCCTGTAGATGTGCAGAATATCTTTACAAATTAAAATAGGCCAAAAAATATGCACAACAAATTAAGTTTAAATTAAAAAAGAGTTGCCATGCTGGTGACGAAATAACAGACGATAAACATAAAATCAAAACAAGTGAAAGAAATTAAAATCACATGTTATATATACAGCTTGGGGTGAAATAGAGAAGTTTGCACAATACATACTTTTGGTCCAGTTTTCGACCACGGGGTGAGCTCTATTTAGTTTAAAAGAAGATTTACGATCTTGTGCCTTTAATCGCAGAAAAAAATAAGAAGTCATTGTGAGAAACTGTCTCACTTATTAGACTGCGATTCAATGCATATCATTATAAATGGTAGGGGTAACTATTTAATTATTCAATAAATGTAAACGTTACAATAAAACATCGTGTTAGCAGTACCATCATCCAACACTAAACCAAATAAGAGATTAAAGTGTCACAAAAAAATAACAAAAAAATATTTAATTTTAAATTTGATTCATACTGTTATTGATCACTTTCACCAATTATTTTCAAATTAGTGTTTTAAAATTCAACTCCCGCCGGTTTTTAACCTTTCCACTATACTTTCTCCATGGGAGTTCCCAGACGAATTCACGAATTGCAAACAAAAGTCAGTGATTTAAACGATCGTGGATTTGGTCCTTCTGGTGCCGGAGGGACCGATTTCCCGAATGCAGATGAAGACTCTGGTATGCGATGCACCCTGTCCCACCCACAAGGCTTTCCCTTTCCCATCGTCTCTCGCGCTCGCGTGGACCCTGATTGTTTACGTTTCTTTACTCTCTTTTCTCTCATTTCGTGTCAGACTTGCTCTCCTCTCATAACACTTACGTGGTCGGTTTCACTTGCAAATTCATAGAAATCTCGAACGTTTCTAATGAAGTGTTTCGCGTGGATACAGGTTGGTGCAAATGTACAGGAAAATTTGACTTTTTCAACGAATTATTTTAGTTTAGTTAATTTCCATTCTAAATAGGATTAACTGAATATGTCTTTTTGGTCCCTATAAACTATTATAAAACTATTCCTAATTTAATTTTACAATGTAAAAAATTGCTACTCGGAAATAGAGTTGGATGGATCGAGTTAAATGATTTCTCACGATCAATACTATATTGTCCGTCCAAAATTGAACACTCATTCGGTTAAATCTTAGGGAAGTTACTCGCATTTCCACTCGTCACGGTTATTTAGGCTCTAATTTGGATGTTGTTTGTTAGCTTTGTCATTCAAGATATTATCTCGTGATTACAGCTCCGGATTAATCACTCTGTATTAAAATGGATGACGACTTTATACGCACGATGATTAATTATGGTTTATGAATATTTGATTAGTAACTTGTCTTTGTCCGATGGCAAGAAAGGCCTACAAACGCCAGATCCTGTATGGATCCGGTTTAAATCGTAATACTGTAAGAAAAGGAAATAAGTTATAGGCATCAAGTGCAACAAAGTTAATTTCCAAGCTCAGGACTTGGACTGCAAGGAAGTAACGATATAGGAAGGGCAAAACGTGACGTGTAAGATATTAGTAAAGAAAGAACTGCACGAAGAGTGAAAAGGTTGGGGAGATAGTGAGTCGGTGGCTCAGTCGGTAGCGTCGCGGACTTCGGGCCCATGGCAGCGATGTCGTGGGTTCGGATCCTGGTCACTGCCGATAACATTTTATCAGTACAGTTCACCTTTGTACTGTACCGGCTCACTCCTTGCTTTGCTGTAAACGATCCACGCACGGGCGCTTAGTTTATGTGGACGGGCAAATGCAAGGTTAAAAGAGGCCGCCAACCTCTTTAAAAAAAAAAGAAGAAGCAAAACCGATCACAAAAAAACATGGGCAGTGGACAGTAGACAGTATTTGTTGTAACCCTACACCCCCCTCGAAATCAAAAGAAATTAAGTACTGTTCATTGACACATTCAAGGTTTGCACAAATACTCAGTCTTATTCTTCTGGCAAAATAAGGTCAAGAGATTATTGAGAACCCTAAGTAAAATCAAATTAGAAGCATGTGAGTGTTATGACCGTGCACTGCGCAGGTGGCGCTGTAACGGCGCAGGCGCAGTGAGACAGTGGGTGACAGGGACAGGGTGACCTGAGCTGCGCAGTCGTGGGAAAATCTGCGCCCAATCGACTGCGCTCACTCACTGGAGTCTCTAGGTTACCGTAACACTAGAGACTCCTAGCAGAGCCTGGGATTGACCGATTGGTTACCTCACTTATTGGTTCATGAACTTCCAAGGTGAGAAGTGCAACCGTTGTTTTTAGCGAATTTCTCTATAGGGAAGTAGCTATTACCGTAGGTGGCACGGTAAGACCTAGACCCGGGACCGATTTACTTTTTCATTTTGATGTCCCCAGAGGCCAAAAACACCATTCGTTCAAATTTTTATATATGTATATATATATATAGACTTATATATATATATATATATATATATATATATATATACGTCCGTGAACGCGATATCTTGAGTAATTTTAGTCCGATTTTGATGAAATTTGGTTTAAAGGAGTAAAGCGGGATAAACTTGAATGAGTTCGGGAACCAGCACGATCGGACCATGGGAACGGGGCTTTACGGGGGGTTTTATGGGGTAAAAATTGGTTTTTCTCACTTTTGACCCTCAAAACACAAAATTTTCCGATTTCTCTTTAGACTTTTTTAAAGAACTTAAAAAAAAAATTAAGTATATAAAAGTATTTTTGTTCGATTGTAAGTAACGGAGGAAATTAAAAAATTGTAAATTTAAAATTCCCATGTTATTCTTATGGAGAATATTGTCAAATGTTGTAGTTTGCTTGTTTATGGATATATTATGATCAAACTTGGCAAATTTATTTATTTTGTACTAAGCTATCAATATTTTACTCAAAAACACACTTTATTAGTTTCCTTGTAGCAGCAAACCTAGGTACTTGTTAAACCTAATGTTATTAAAATATATTTAACTGAAAATTAATTCAGACAAATGGAAATTCGCTTAGACGGCAGGTTTGCTGCGGTGGGGGTATTTTTCTTTTATAAGTGGAAGTAGGAAATATGATTTAGGTTCGAGTTGATTACAATACTTTCACAGCAACATCTCGGACATTTAGAAAATCGATTAATGCTCTAAGCACATGTGCATGATGTGTACATGTGCATAAGATGATCAATTAATCGATCGATGCTACATGAACTTTTTTTACCTTTATTATTATTCAAATATTTTTCTAAATGGAAATTAAATTCAAGTAGAGAATCGACTTAACTAAAAGGTTGTGTTCAAGGAACCTTGGTCCTCCTCATCCGGTGCGAAGGACCAAATTTATTAATTCAAAATCTTTTTATAGGCTCTAATTTGGCTGGGTGCTATTTAAAGGTGGATTTTAATGGTTGGTCCTTTGTTATACATAACCTATATGTACCTGATGGTGGATGTGTATCTTTGTTATACATGTGGATCTTCCTACAAATGTTTACCCTTTTTCTCAATACACTAGTAGAAAAACAAATATCACTTGTATGGCAAATAAAAACTACCTAGGAACCTGACACCTTCGAGTTTCGATAGATTCTAAGTTAGTTTATCTTATAAATAATATGTATTAAATATAATCAACTAAGACAATCTAAAATACCACTTCAGTAATGGATCACCGAACGTTTGATCGAAACTCATCCATCAGTGTTAAATAGGTTGTTAGAGATTGATGGGAGATAAGATAGTTTCAAAGGTAATATATCAGTTGCCGTTCACCCCGATTGTGGTTACTTCGAGAAATTACCGAGCAATAGTTATATTTTACGTGAAAGCACTACACACGAATAGGACATATAACACCTTTGATTTATGTTGTATTACTTTTGTCCTTTCATTTTACAATATTTTACACACAATGAACTATTTTAGTCCGAGTAGATCTGAAAAATACCTTATAGTTAGGGTATTCTCCCCATCACCTGTACAATAGCGTAGTGCTAGCATTGTAATCAGAAGTCTGCCGGTTCGATCCCGAGTAAAGTAATAGTTTTTGTGTGGATCAACACTGGACTCAGCTGTCCTCGATCATTGTGCTACCAAAGAGTTAATTTCATTCATTAACGTATCCTTCACTTATTATCACCTGCCCTTTATTTTTGATCTTTTTACAATGTAGATGCAATTTTAAGACTTTTTCCTCAAACGACTAACTTTTAGGGGGAGAAATGTGAAAAATAACGATTTAGATTGCATGTACATTCTGAAACAGTCATGAAATACAAGGTGTTCCATTCTAAATTTTATGTTAGTCACCACATTTGAAAATGGCAACCAATTTAAAAAATGTAAAAACATATATTTTATGTTATGAGGAAATTGTTGAAGCTCTCTCTACATATAATAATTTCTGGGATACCAATGGCCGCTCAATTTCTTTCATCCTGTATATTACACGTCAGTTATTATATCACGTTGACACCAATACATCGTATGTTATAATCTGTTCGAGTTATGCGAACCCCGTAACAGTAAGGGTTCTGCTTCAATGGTGCATTACCTGATATTTGGCCACGGTTTCCTTGTTTGCAACCATTTCATGTACCAATAACGACGCAAATTGATACACAATCATCCATCCATTACACAGAGGTAAAATGTTAACCGTTCGAGAAATGTATATGTTTGTACAGAAATAAAATGCTAAAGCTTGCAAGCTTGTACTCCTTATATCAGTAGTAACTGCAGTGGGTA